GGCGGAGCTTTAGATTAGAAAGCATTTGATTGGACAGAAGATGTGATGAGGAGCTGGAGTCCACGGTGATGTCATTAAATCCCATGATCCGTTTTAGCGGAAGTGAGAGACTAAGTTTTGAATGCTTATATCTTCTAAATGCGAATTTTTGCATTGTTTTGGAACACACCAGCTTATTCGTAACCTTAAAGGTTCTCTGAGCGATCCTGGGTGTCGAAATATTTTCAAACAAATCGGATGCTAGCTAGACCCTCCCTCCGCCGCATCTCATCTCCTCCCCCTCCCTTCCGTGCTTCCTGAAATAATTGTGAACGTGCATAGTTCTAGCTAATTATATCCTTGTGTGGGTTTGGCGAACATAAAGCGTCAATTTAGAAGAAAAAAAAACTATTTAACGTTACCCACCTGTCCAGCAAAAACAGAGCAACCTGACGTCGGACTGGAAGCCCTTCTGCCGCCGGAGTTCTCGCCATCGTTCAAAAGCTTTGCTACCGATGTAAATTCGGAACTTCGCACGATCTTTATCCGACTCCTTCTTCTTTTTAATTTGTTCTTCAGAACGACGTCTATTTGGTCGTGTGTCGGCCATTTTTCAAACTTCCCTCTGATGCTTCGCTGCTCTCCTTCACACACACACCCCCTTCATGTGCACGCGCACTAACCCCCCAGACCCACCCTCAGATACTTCTTGCCAGTGATTGGCTGGAACACTGTTTGTTAGGTTTCGTGGTCCGGGTGAGACATGATTGTTTTTGTTGCCGTTTGTGGAGCCTGTGGTGTCTACAGAGACTAGTGTTGGGCGATATGCTCCATTTTCATATCGTCCTATCGTCAGCCTGTGAGATCGGCGATAGACGATATTATCGTGAGGGGGCGGGGCTAACTTATTTGATTATTAACTTGATTATTTAGCCTACTCATTAATTTGCTTGTTTTATTAGCCTACTTCGTTTTATATACGAGAATCTTTTTTCTATTTTGCTAGCAAAGGTGGAGTGTTTATTAATAGGATCAGGTTATTTCCTGGTATAGTGAGGTAAAAAAAAGAGATCCTAATCCTTTTGTTTGTCAACGGGAAATTTACGGACACATTAGCCTATTCTCATGCCGTTACATGCAGCATTTTGACTAGGGCCTATTTCTGCACGAGATGAAAACACGTTTTAATAATTTCTTGGGTCAGAAAAAGTCGGAGTTTGCGATATGTGTCCCCCTACCAGTGCGCTCTCTGCGCACTTCACATGCGCACTTCATTAAGCACGAAGTACGCGGGTTAATGTGTTTTAAATGCCGGGAGAAACAAGAGCAAGGGCCAAACATCTAGCTGAGTCGATCGGTTTATACTTATACTTATGACTTGACTCTGATAAAGGAAACGGACATGACCACATGCATTGTCAAGTTTATTCAACATAATCAGGTTAAGAACGTCGTCGCATGACGCATGTAAACGCGCTCAATCTCTGAAAGTGAAAGTAAAAACGGACTGCTTTCGGCATCTGCATTAACGCCGCGTTCCCTCAGAGACGACGATGATAACGGTAACTAATAATACTATTTTAGTGATATTATTATTAATACTATTTAGTAATTGTATTGTTTTTAGTGTTGGTGTCATTAAACGTTTTGTTAATGTGTTACGGAAACAAATACTGACGAACAACGATGCCGTTTTCATCTTGGATCTGTAGGAAATTGAATTTTGCGTCTGTTAAAACGAGCACTTCATAATTTGTGAATGGATCACCTTGCAATTATATTTTGATGTGGGATGTTTTTTAGTCTGTTTTAAAAACATTCTCTTAGAGGAGTCCTCATTAGTGCGTGTGTTGTTGCAATTGTTATGAGGTGATGTCGTTGTAAATTTAGGCAAGGCAAATTAATTGTAGTTCCTAATATTAATTTAATAATAATACTAGCTTTATAATAATAATAATAGGCCTAATAATAATAATTTAATACATTATGGTAAAACGAGCCAATTATCGTATTGATATCGTCAAAGGCATCTGCCATCGGCGATATGTCAGACTATCGTCGATACACGATACTATCGTCTATCGGCACAACCCTAACAGAGACCGTGTTTTTTTACAGTGTGTTTAGGGGACAGTCAGCTAGCCGATAGTGAGGAGACGTTTGATGTCTGTGACAAAAAATGTTTTGGCCCCACATCGCTTAGAGAACCTTTAAAGCTACACTGTGTGATTTTTACCCCCATCTAGCTGTAAAAAGGTATATGACCATCCATTGAATATTAGCTTCTGTTCCTCTCAATTCTGATTTCGTTTTAACTCCTACGGTGGCCAATGTAGTCCAAGATTAACATGGCTTCCAGTTCGACCTCGCCCATGAGTGTTAACTCAAACATAAACGCGAAAGGCGAAGCTTGAATTAACGGGTATGTCCCTCTTTGGCTAATGTACTTTCAAGAGGGGCAACATGGCGACCGACATTAGAACCCCTTACCCATATGTATTTTCAATGGCATATTATACACTCACGAGAATACTTTATTACTTGAACGAAGTAAATATACATTAATGAGCACATATATTTTTGAAAGAACTAAGTGTTTTTAGCTAAGAATAAACTAAAAGAGTTACACAGTGTAGCTTTAAGGCTAACATATTCATACTAAAAGCTAAAATTTTGATTTCAGGGGGCCTTTAAGGACAACTTCCTCACTATGGCACTGTTCCCGTCATTCTTTCGGTCAACATTAAGTGTGTCCGCAGCAGGGCCCTGGCACACACACACTCCCGCTGGTTCCAGGAACCGGGCCCCTTCCCTGCACTCCCACGGCTCCTCTACTGGGGAAGCGGGCTCTAATCACCCCTATCGAGGTGGCTTAGCTAATTGGCAGGCGCTCTGTCACTGGGAACGCATCTGCTACCTGTTTGTACCAATTAGCAGATGTGAGCCACTCCAGTCCGACGCCTCCGCACATGCGACAGATTCCGCAATTAGTGGCTCGTTTAGAAAGAGCGCCTCAATTAACATGAGTACCCTTAATTACATATTCGCAGAGGATGCGGGAAGATCCTGGCCTCTCGCAGTTCACCTCGCTCATTCGTTTGTGATGAGATGAGAGAATAAACATGATGTTCAATGACACTGGAGATTTCATTACAATATTTCCAGAGAGACACACCGCGTGAAGGATTTATGATCACTTACAGTCAAGCTTCATTTTCTGAAGAGAGAGGAATGCAATTACAGTTACAGTAGGGATGTAAAAACATGCTTCTACCTGAAAACAAAAATTTAATGCATCAACTTTTAAACATAATGTGCTGAAATTGACGGTTGAACTCATTCTTAGGGTTAGAGATATTACAAATCTAAATTAAAACTCATTTTGATGTCTTTGGAAGGCGTAAAGACAAAAAAAATGTGTCAGGGTTGAAGATGAAGAATGAAATAGCTATTTGTGGTTTGGCATAATCTTTTATTATTATTCATTTTTATTCTTTTTTTTTTTTTTTACAAAACTGTGTTAATATTTAAAATCTGAATCATGTGGTGTACCCAACATGCAGACAAAAAAGGTCAAACATTCTCATTAAATAATAATTTGACCTCACAATATGCAAAACGGCATTTAGTGTAACTTGTAGAAAATTAATAATTTGTGATATTCTAAAAACAATTTACTCCCTTTAAAAATAATAATAATCACCAATATGAACATTTTGACCGATAATTCTTTATATTTGAAAGCTTATATCCGATACATTAGCCGATAAATACATTTTTATACCATTTTGAGAGCCTGATTACAAAAACTAAAGTCTTATTTTTAAAAGCCATGTCCCAAACACACAATTATAATGTTTTCATAATTTTATGTCACCTATGTGACAGACTTGCGCTGCACATGTTGCACTGAACTGTGTGTTTGTGAATCATCCCCAAAACAAATTAATCACACTACGATCCAAATTTGGCCAGATTTAATTTAGCGAAGAGCCAAATGTATTGAATGATGAAAATAGTTTGATGTGAGAGGCAGACGGTAAAGTCCGGTCACGGGTCATTTAAAACCTTCCACCATCTACACAATCAACACATCTAATATTAACCAAACACTCATAAAGAGAAATGGACAATGGCAATTGCGACTGGCCATAAAGCCTGTACAGACAGAGGCATCTCCTCCAGGCCCTAATCTGAGTCAGCTGCTCTGATGGAGGGGCCTGCTGTCATGTGAACCCATGTGAGTTGGCTCTTACTTATTCTCAGCACAAAGATCAAGGGGTCTTTGGTCTCCCTCCTGCGCCCAAGGCGTCTCATAGAGACTTTCACATCACATGCTTCTTGAACTGATTTGCTCTTAAAGGCTGAAACACTGCTCTGAGATCAGCCTGGCCTACAGTACCCCATCTAATCTGATGTTTTTGAAGCACAGTAACAGCTAATCAGAGATCAGCCGAGTTTTGAACGAGACCGTGAAGGGCAAAACCATATGAAAACAAAACATATCCCTATAAATACATGAAATGTAATTTCATTAGATAATAAAACATCACAACATGCTTCAGCTTTCCTCAAGACTTTCACTTTTCATTTGCAATGTATTTTACCTGTACCAAGTTGTTTTTAAGTGGATGTACTATGATGTCAGTTCCTCTCAGAGTGACCACAGGTGCAGTTCATCACAACTATGGTCATTTTCCACAAGTGTTTGACCTCTAAAAAGTGTCAAAACACTGCCCTAGTTTTTAAAAGGTAGCATCTCTTGTTGTGAAACGCATCTCGTGTCAGCTTGTGCTATCCTTCTTTCAAATAAATAATGGTTGGTTTGATTTCTTGCGCGTGCGACTTAACGTTACATGTCTACATACTTTTGAAGAGGCCATATGACAGAGGTTATCTAGTAAAGGTTACAATGTAAAACAGATGCCGCAGGGCTTCCACTGGACACTGAAATGTTTTGACACTTTATGTACATAGGAAAACATGAAAATGTTTCAAAATGTGTAGGCTAGGCTACATACCGTTTGTCCCGGAGTCCCAATGACCATCTCCATGTAATATCCCCTACCAGAGTCTCCTTTTAAATTATTGATCATGTCCAGAAAGTTGACGATGCCCGCTGGGTCTGACGCCAGGGACAGTCCGCTCTCCACTGCGCCTTCATTCTGTCGCAAAGGCCGGAGGTCCAGCTGCACAGACGGGTCGAAATTCCCAGAAAATATTTTCAATGGTATTTTAAACACTGAATGGGACGTCCAGAAGGAGAGAGAAAGTATCAGGAGACGGTAGTACAGCCGCATCTCGCCAAACTTCACCCTGACAGACACTCACTCAGCTTTGCTTCAAAGTGCAGAACTCTGTCATTGACGACGGCTGAGGTTCCATTCTGATTATTAGTTATGGGAATAATCTTCGGCTGAGAGTGTGTGAACCAGACAGATGCCGCGGGGAAATAAAGTGTGTGTGTAATGTGTTCAATTGATAACTTCCTGAAAGAGCACATGACGGATATGACGAGCGTTCGCAAACATTCCAGCGTTTAAACAGGGCCAGAGGCTATGGAGAGGGAAACACTACAGGCTAATAGGCTATACTGGGCAGTGTCTCAAAAGTTAGTGTACTGTCTGCCTAGGCAGCATTATGGGCGGCCGGTTGAGAGTATGGGGGGAAATCTTTTGGGGAGTAAATGTCAGTTTTGGGGACTAACATCTTGCTGTGTTCAGTCGAGAAAATAAGTAGAACTAGCCTACCATTGATGATAACTATTTATGTTTTATAAAGGAATTTTCTATCTATCTATCTATCTATCTATCTATCTATCTATCTATCTATCTATCTATCTATCTATCTATCTATCTATCTATCTATCTATCTATCTATCTATCTATCTATCTATCTTTTGATATAGGCTAGGAACTAAACATTCATTCATAACCTTTTTGGGGACCCTTGTGTAGGCTACATGTATTAGTACTGTAGGCTACATTAAAGCAAATACAATGCACATCAAAAAAGCAGTTTACAATAATTGTCATCAAAACTTTATCCATTCAAAATCCAGAGTACAGTGTTATATTGACAACATGACTATCTTATAGACTTATCCGTACACAATGACACAAGGACCTGTCATTCTGATGGCATTGACATTCATTGACTCAAATACTTTAGAGAGATGAGATGGCTGTTGAGCAAGAGACTGGCTTTTGCAGGAAATGGTGTTTTGCTATTTGTACAAATTGTTTTGAGAAATGCACTTACTATTTTAGAAATATAATTCGAGAAATGTACCAAAAGTGACTGAGGAAAACTGTAACATATTTTACAATAGGCCACAGAGTTCTGTTCATAAATCTCCCTGCATTCTGGCCATTGTCTTGCAGTACCGCTGATCGTCAGATGAGGGCACAGTACACCTCTTCTCACTCCTCTCTAACCCCATCTAACAAGCTGTGCGGTAAATGAGGGAGATTATCGGAGTGAGCAGGCTAACAGTTTACAGTCCAAATCGCCTTTCCTGGAACATTGCTCCCTAATCTTCCACGAACCCTGATTGGAACAAGCCTTGAGGAGCAAGACACAGAACCAGTCAGAGGTAAACGCACCAGCGTCCTTTTGCCTTAAGACAACACCCATCTTCCTCCACAGAACCACTGCCATTTTAACCCAGCACGTCCAAACACCTTTGTGTGGAAAGATGGTGGGTTACAGCATTTTTATATTTAGTGAAGTCACCACAATCCTTTGAAGATAATACAAAAATGCTAAACAATAAAAAAATAATGAATGGAAATATAGGCTATAAGATTATTATGGTTTTTTTTTTCATAAAAAAACAACAACAAGTAGCCTAAACCAGACCAATTACATGTACTTATCTTTCACAATTACAGAGTGTCTCCTAATATTTCATATTAAAAACTGATATTTAATTAAGGTTATTAACAGCATATGCTCGCTTCCTCTTATAACATCCCCCTCAGTCTCAGTCTCACGCCATGTTCACCCTGAAACTGACCACCTGTTGTACATTTCTCGACCTAAGACCTGTTCGATAGAGTAATCTGCAGGCCGAATTACTGAAGCATCTCTAAGTCCATAATGCTTGTCTTAGACGCAGTGCATCTGTTGGCATCTTGCATGGTGATATTGTGTAATTACAGGCAGGGAAGAGAAGCTGGACAATCTGGGATTAAGGGGGAAGGAAGGGATGTGTGTAGGAGTGACCTGTCCACATGATTTTGCTCTAATGTTCATTTCCACCCTGGACCATTTAGTGTGCAGGTGATGGAGCAGCTTTTGCTGTGGGTTATTAAAGCAAAGATCCAGTTCCAAAAGTGGGCAGAAACACTAGGAGAAATTTACCCCCCGGACAGCAAGTGTCGGCCCAGATCCGGCCCACATCTGGGCCTTGTGGAATCCATGGCTGCGTTCCAGTCCACTTTTAGACACGCACTTGCGAACCTCCCTAAGCATTTTGAAGCGCGTTCCACTTCGTGAACACTCGTTTAGACCGAGATTTAGACCGAGGGAGCAAGTCTACTTCATATGTACACTTTATGCATACTATATTTCCCACAATGCAGTACGATTGGGACGTCACCACAGATCTCGTCTAATCACAACCACAACAAACAACTCTATGATATATTAATTATATATTTTTTTTAAAAAAACAACCCAAACACACCTATGTGTGGATGCTGCATTAAACATATTCTTAAAGTGAATTTAAAAAAATAATAAAAAAAATCAGCTCAATAACTGATTCCAAGTGTTCAAGGGCTTAGGACATCACAACCCCTACAATGTACATAAACCCCGTCCGTGGGAATACGATTTATAGATTATCATGACTGAATATGCTAATGACGCTAACAACTACACATAAACTACATAAATTAATCAACTAACCATTTAGAAATGTCCTGTTGAATTCTACATGTTGTCCCTTCTTCTTGAGTCTCTCCATCATTGTCTGACTCTGGTTTGAACATAAAAGGCTAAAGTTTGTTTTTTTGACACCGCCCCCTTTGCTAGGAGCAGCAGCTCATTTACATTTAAAGGGACAGACACAAAAACTGTGTGTTTTTGCTCACCCTCAAAAAGTGACAATTTTAACGTGCTATTTAAAAATATCTGTGGGGTATTATGAGCTAAAACTTCACATTCACACTCTGGGGAAATCAAAGACTTATGGTCAGTCCACACTACTGCGTTTTCGTTTAAAAACGGAGAATTAAAACGAAAACGAACTCCGTCCACACCAGTGTATTATCTGCGTATTAGAATTGATCTCCGTCCACATTAAAACGACTGAAAACGCGCATCACGTGACCATTCACCAACACTGGGCATGCGCGTGCCGGTGTAAACGGGAAACGGGTCATGTGATGGGTGACTGACGAATCGGGGAAGGACACGTCATGACTGATGACACTCAATCATAGAGCCGAGCGTGAGCCTCTGCGTCATCGTTTCTAAAGTGCGTTTTGTCCCATCTTCACTAAAACGGAGATTCAAAACGCAAAACAGAGCTGCAGCGTTTCTAAACATCTCCGTTTTAGGTCTTCGTTTTTTCCGTTTTAGTCTGGACGGGAGGTGCAAACGTAGCAAAAGTCTCCGTTTTTAAACTAAAACGCAGTAGTGTAGATTGGGCCTTTGAAAAGGGCATTATACCACCCCTAAATAAATAATGAAAGGCAGGATTTAAACCTGATAAATCTTATAAAATATAGTAATAGAGAATGGGGCTGGAGCATTCTCTATCCTTTTTTTCTTCCCCTAATTCTCTCTGCTTTGCAAGTATTAATTTGTATCTGAATGTTTACAGATAGTTTTATATCTCCAGTGTGTATTACTTGCGTAACCCCTAAATTGAATCAGGCAGAGCGTTTCTGCTAAAAGCTTGTTTAAAGATTCATCATTAGTAACTGGTGAACTCTCACTGGCTATGTATTTAAAGAAGAGTCCCTGAGCCACAAACACATCCAGTTGATTAGAAAATAATTCTCCTTGATAACTGAGAATCTTCACACATTTACTCTTAAAGGTGTTTACTTTAAAGAACAGCTGGTTGTGTACATGTTGATGTTACAGTAATTCCAATCAAACTTTTCAAAATAGGCACGTGTTATTTGATTACACCAAACCAGCTAGCTGGATTAGTACAGTATGTTTAAACCAAAGATCACATAATGTCACTATTTTTCTCTCTATTCCCACTTCCTTCCATGTCAGTTTACCCCAAATTAAATTGGGATTGTTTAGGAATAAAACATTTAAGATCTTTTAAGAAAAAAGGTTTAAGATCAGAGGAGGAAGTTCAGAAGGAACATCCAATACAAATTTGAGACTATGAAATTTGAGACTATTTGAAATTTGAGACTATTTTAAGGATCTAAGCTCATAAAGCGCAGGGTGCAGGTTCACTCAGGGTGTGTCCGAATCCACTTTTGCTTGTTTAATGACGGGAAAAATAGTCGGCACTCCAGGCGGATGGTCTTAAAGAGTTTTCCCTATTCTCTCAATGAGTAAGGGGTGTGTTCTGGGCGTAACGTACAATAAACCAACCAGAGTCTGATCTCCCATTGCCTTTTTACATGGAGGAATTTGCAAGCCGAAAAACTGAACTCTTCTGTAGCGAGGAAATGGATCTGCCTATGCTATCTCACGACCAATTCGTACGAATTCGACGCATGATTAAAGTGTTAAATTCTTACTAATTAACGAATTTGTACAATTTGTCTAAACCCACGTGATGGTTAGGTTTAGGGGCGGGGTAAGGGGTAGGTCATTCGTACGAATTCATACGAATTGGCCAATTCGTAAAATATGTACGATTTAGCAAAATCGTACTAATTCGTACAAGTGAGGTCGTATGAATTAGTACGAATTAGACACTTTTTAATCATGCGTCGAATTCGTACGATTTGGTCGTGAGATCGGGTTGGATCTGCTGGACCTGGATCTTTAAATAACAAAAACAATACTGCGCCATTGAGTTTAGACCAGATTTTTGTTGGTCAATGCGGCTCAGTCTATTTCTCTATTATTATTTTTTTTGCCTCAAATTAGCAACGCGCCAACAGTGTACCTGGACACACCTCGTTTTCAGACCAGCAGCCCATGGGTGAATAATGGCCGCGAATGTATTTGCTATTTAAACAACATGGAGCAGGATGTGAAAATGATAACTGCGTCGGGCTGACGCTAGCAAAAAACACTTGCGTTGCACCGGCCCTATACAGTATGTTATAATTTAAAAGATTCACCAATTTACCACAAATCTCTGGTCAATTTTCTTCTGGGTTCATCTTCAGGCCTTACTGTAATAAAGAAGAAGAAAAAAAGCAGCTTTTCTCAATTGTTTCTCCATGACCACAGTCAATTAATTGGAGAACAAATGGGGACTTTTCCTCAAGTGTCGTGCTTATCCTGATAAAAAAAAGAGTCCAGTAGTCTCAGTTGTCTCCTTAGGTGACTGAAGAGAAGATGTC